TTAACACCTATAGGATTATAATCTCCAATACCTGAATAAAAACCCTTAGTCTAACATCTTTCCAATTAAGTTTCCCCCTCAATGATAAAGAGTTTTGTCTTTAAGGTGTAATTTTTGCAGGTTTGGGATACCAAGTATGGAGCTGGTTTGAAAAGCAGTCAATGGAGTTTTGGTAAGGGTGTGATGTTATAGTTTTGTTGCTTGTATGGTTCAGAGATCAATGGTTGAAGTATGGTTCCAAAAAATTTGAGAGTTCTCGCATTTTCAAACCTTTCTTTCATTTTAGGTACTTGACATTGTTTGAGGACAAAAAGGATCTAAGTTTGGGGGAATTGATGTATTGTGTTTTGGCACATTCTAACAATGGTTTCTAAAATATTTTTGAATCTTTATCGTGTCATTTAATTCCTTTTTGAGTCATTGGACGAAATGTGGATCACTTGAAGCAAAAGAGGCAGAAAAGAATACAAATTGGAGAATTCTTGACAGAGCAGCCGTTCTCAAATGGAGCTGCCACTCCCATTGGATAAGCCGCTCTAGAAACTAAGTTTTGTAAGGAAGTTTCTAATATTTCGAGATTTTACCTAGGGACACCCCTTTTCCTCCTGAGCCGCCAGAGACTTGAAATTTATCTTTTTCATTATTCTTATTAGAGTAAACATAGAAAAATTTATATTAATAGCATCATATTTTTAGAAAATAAGATACTTTTTATGTATTACGTTGTTGTCTTGAAAATATATTTTTCTTTTAGAAATTTAAAATTAAGATATAAAAAGTTGTAGTTATTCTATAATTGAAATAAATTTACATTAATAATATTATACTTTTATAAAATAAGCTGATTCTTATGTATTATGTTGTTATATTGAAAATATATTTTTATATTATAGAATTTAAAAGTAAAATAGAAAAATATTTATTATTAATTAAATATAAATCATCACTCAAAAATGTTATTTAAGAAATGAATTTGCTGATTCATTAAGTGCTCCATGATTTTAGGTAATTTTAATTATATGTCATAGTTTTTATGATATTATATAATTTTTAAAAAGGGCAAATCTTCAAAATAGCACATTTCTAAGTTTATGTCACAAAAATAGCATTCAAAAACTAAAATGACCCAAATAGCATTTTATCTTTTAAAAATTTTAATTTTTATTTTATTTTTCAAAAATTGAAATATTATCCCCAAAACTCCACTCTCCAACTCTAAACCCTAACACCTAAATTATAAACCCTACACTCTTAATCCTAAACCCTAAACCATAAATCCCACCCCTTAACCCTAAACCCTAATGTCTAAATTAATTTATCATTGAAATATTGGTGTATATTTATCTCTTTTGATAAAACATTAAGTGCTATTTTGGTCATTTTTGATTTGTACCTTTTGAAAACATAATTAATAATTTATTATGTTTATTATTAAATTAATGAAACATAGAAAAAATTATCTATTATTAATTAAATATAAATCATCACTCAAAAATGTTATTTAAGAAGTGAATTTGCTGATTCATTAAGTGCTCCATGATTTTAGGTAATTTTAGTTATATGGCATAATTTTTATGATATTATATAATTTTAAAAAGGGAAAATCTTCAAAATAGCACATTTCTAAGTTTATGTCACAAAAATAGCATTCAAAAACTAAAATGACCCAAATAGCATTTTATCTTTTAAAAATTTTAATTTTTTTTTATTTTTCAAAAATTGAAATATTATCCCCAAAACTCCACTCTCCAACTCTAAACCCTAACACCTAAATTCTAAACCCTAAACTCTTAACCCTAAACCCTAAACCCTAAACCATAAATCCCACCCCTTAACCCTAAACCCTAATGTCTAAATTAATTTATCATTGAGATATTGATGTATATTTATCTTTTTTGATAAAACATTAAGTGCTATTTTGGTCATTTTTATTCTTAAGTGCTATATTTGTGACAAAAAAAAAATTTAGTGCTATTTTAGTCATTTTCTCTTTAAAAAATTATCATATTATATTTTTAGAAAATAATTTATAATAAGGTAATTCTTATGTATTATGTTGTTATCTTGAAAATATGTTTTTCTATTAGAAAATTTAAAATTAAGATATAAAAAGATATAATTATATAAATTGAGTAAAAATATTTGTATAAATATTATATTTAAATATAAATAAAGTAAAATAATTATCGAAATATATTCTTTTAAATATTTTGGATATTTGAGTTTTGTCATTGATAATTATTTGATGTTTGATTTGTACTTTTTGAAAACATAATTAATAATTTATTATGTTGATTATTAAATTAATGAAACATCAACTAATAAATATATTCATAAGAGAATACCCAAAAGTGCGGACAAAACACATAGTTAAAAATATAAAAACCAACGATGCTTGGACGAGCGCTTCTTATTATTAATTAATTTGGTGTTAGTCGAAAACTTTTTTATGAAGTTTGAACTAATTACTTTTCAAAAAAAAAAGAAAAAGTTTGAACTAATCATAAAAAAGCCTGATTAAAAATATTAGCCGGGACAAATGACCCCTGGTCATAATAACGCAGGTCCACCACTGCATCCACATTGTTATGGTTTGTTTGTCATTTTTTTATTTTCAGCTACTTCTTTATGGTGGATATTGCGAGAAAATGTTATTAAAGGAACAAATTTCTTGAACAATTGTTCTTTAACACACAATTTATAGTAGATGTAATTAAATATCATATGGTTTACATATAAAGTTAAGAACAGTTAGCACGATCACAAGCAAATAATAATGGTCTTGCCGAATAAAGGAAAAGCAGAATAATCTCCTATGATTTTGAACAAAAACACAGTTTTGATATTATAAAAATATATATATATATATATATATATTATTAAAAATAATATATTATATTTTAATTTTATAATAATATTAAATAGTATTATATTACTGCTCTTCCAATTATTCTATAAAATAGTTTAATGAAAACATACAACTTCTACCGCATGTTACTTCCTACTTTTATAGTATACTAGTACTATTATATCATCAGTTTTGCCAATCAGTACGGATTAAAAGAATGAATATTTAAACGTAAATACTCAAATGCTAAAGTTATATAGTTAGAAACATAAATGAATAGTATATATTCTCTTTTTTTTTTTGACAACGAAAGGCTGATCTATTACTCAAGCTTGAGGTGGTATGGGAATCCAGACCGGAATAGAACAACCAACAAACATGAGGTCACGATAAAATGAGCGGGCCGTCTTAGCTAAATGATCGGACACATCATTTAAAGTTCTAGGTACATAAGAGATCTTGAAGTCTGGGAAACAAATCCTCAGAGTCGAGATCCTCTCCAGTTCCGTCGAAAAGCTTGGCCATCCATGGGGATCCTTAAGCATTGCTAAAAGTTCCTTGCAATCCGTCCCAAAGCTCTGACATGGCGAATGTTGAAGCATGTTCTCCATTGCCGACCGCAGTGCTTCCAGCTCCGAATGCAAAGCCGACTCCACTCTACTCACATTCCGCATCCCCATCAACTGACTATTTCCCATGCTATCCTTCCAATCCCAACCACAACCGGAGAACTGATCTATAGAGGTCCAAGAACCATCTATCATACAAATTCCTCGAAGATCTATGGCCTGAAGTCCAGTATCGCCATGCTCTTGTGTTACCACAGCTTCCTGCTCATTAGCTTGAAACCAGGCTAGAAATTCACTCTCTGCATACCGAGCCAACTCTAGAGGGTCTCTATCTATTCCTCTGAACAACTTGTCATTCCGAGCTTTCCAAATGTACCATATTATCCAAGGATAAAGATCCCTGTCTAATTCTGGTTCACAAATGGCCTTCTTCCGCCAGAACAGATAATCCATATTCGCAAAAGTGCTCTCCACCGGGAACAGAATCGAACTGGTAGGTATAGATGATAAGGCCCAAACCTGCAAGGCTGGTGGACATTGGAAAATAGCATGTGCTATCGTTTCCTCCGGTTCTCCACATCGTGGGCAGAAATTATCACATCGCACGTGTCTACGATTCAGCGCACTCGTAACAGCCACCTGTCCAGATATAATCTGCCACATAAGATGGCACATCTTCGGGGGAGCTTTCACCTTCCAGACTTGTGCTTGTAGCCTTTTAATGCTAGGTTCATCTACCAGGTCCTCCTTCTCCTTCATTATATTTTGAGCTACGCAATAACCGGACTTGACAGTGTACTGCCCACTCCTTGTGTAGCTCCAGCAGTGTGTGTCTCTGCGATGGGTTGAACTAACTGCCATACTCCTTATGAGAGATATATCAACAGCGTCAACATCGCTTGTCAGCCGATCAAGGTCCCAAGACTTTGTATCTTGATTGATAAGATCACTCACTCTCATATTCGGATTCAGAACCGGAACAGTTGCATGCGCTGGTCTTGCTGGGATTGTGGGAATCCATGGGTCCTCCCATACCTTTACTTCATAACCTGAGTGAATTTTATGTCTAACCCCCAATAGCAATAATTCACGTGCGGCCGATATGCTTGTCCACACATATGATGGACTACTGACATTGAGCTTACGCAAAGGCGAGCTCAGACGGTAATATCGCCCTCTCATAACTTGAGCTACCATTGAATCTGGATTTTGGGCTAGTCTCCACAACTGCTTTGCTAATAATGCCAGGTTAAACTCATGTATCATCTTGAATCCAATTCCTCCTTCCTCCTTTGATAGACATAGCTTATCCCATGTTGTCCACTGTAAACCTCTCTTTGGTGGGTTTGAGCTCCACTAAAACTGTGCAATGGCACTAGCCAAGGCATCACATATCTCCAATGGGAGTAAAAAACAAAACATAACATAGGTTGGGAGAGCTAATAGGATTGACTTGATCATTACTTCCTTTCCACCTTTAGATAACCACCTGCCCGTCCATCCATTCACTCTATGCTGAAGCTTGTCTTTTAAGAAGGAAAATAGTCTACATTTCTCTTTAAGAAATAAAATTCAGTTGTTATTATTATCTTCCACATCTCTAGTTCCATGTGTTGTGGTTTTTTTGTCATTTGTTTCAGCATTTTTATTTCCTTACCACCCCATATATATAGCAAATGTACTTAAATATACCCTGGTTTCAAGGATAATATCATTTAACAAGATTAGAAGCAAATAACAATTTTCTTTGTTTTAGTGAATGAGAAATGAGGAGTAATCAGAAGGCATTCTTCTTACCAATAAGCCATAGCCAACCCAAAGAAGTTCCTGCAACTATTCCTCCTGTTAAGAAAACCACCAGCAAGTTACCTAATGCATTCTTCTCCGGACCCTTCATAAAAATAAAAACCAAAGTTTCGTCAGCAGATCAGAACAATTGTGAGATTGATTGTCCATTGTTTTAATCTCAAACAATGCAGTATTTTTGTCCGTTTGAATATTCAAAATAATATGTTGTTAACATTAATGTCTTACACTAACATGTTTTGTTTTAGTTAATATAAGCAAAGAAAGATAAAAAAAAAATCAAACTCATAATATTTATTCAGGAAAAGAAAAGGTTAAAATAGAATACCTTGTAGCCTCTAGGAGCAGTGATGAGAATACAAACATTGAGATGTCCTGTTGTCAATCCCAAAAAAGTAACGAGCATAATCATCCATCCTTGTTCACCATACTTCGCAGTGAAGTAGAACGCCGGGATGAGGAAAAAACGTGACAAAGTTGCAAGGGTGAGCCATTTTCTGTTCTCAATCTTGAGCCATTCCACCAGAGGTGTGTACCTCCCAACCAAGTTCCCACAATTGTACATCGCTACTAGGACAAGTGCATACCAAGAGCCTAGCCCGTGGTGTCCCGTGTTCTCGTATAAGAATCCCGGAAAAATGGACAATGACAAAACGTAGATGAGGGCTAGGTTTACTGCATAGTCTATGTTTTGAACTAAGAGTTCTTTGTTGCTTAGTCTTTGATTATTGGAAGCATCATCAGTCTGCATAGAAGAATCAAGAAGCTAAACAATGAACAGAGTGAATAATGTTTTTAAAAATAATCAAGAAAAATATATTCTTGAGTACTCTGTATTTACCAAATATGATTGATTCTTGATACCAGCAGCAGCAAGATCAGCAGTAACAGTTTTGGATCCTTCAGATGCGGCTTTACTTCGATAATACTTAACAATGGGGAGTTTAGGGAACACATATGCGTAAAGCATAACGCATAGAAACTGTATGAATGCTGAGATTGCTAAGAATATCACTGGAAAAAAAAAAAAGAGAAACGAAAAAAGAAAAGAAAAAAAGAATTGATTACATTAATTTTCAAAAATGTTATTTGGTTTTCCGAAATGTTAAAACTCACTTGCTCCTTTCCGTAAACCATCATTTGAGTTCTCAAAGGCAGCTTTGGTCATTAGCCTAAACGCTGAGGTTAGAGCACCAGCTACACCCAGACCAGCCATAAATGACTACAAAGAAGCAAGAAGATATATCTTTAGTAACATTTGTTAACCTAATCAAAGATCTTGAATTAAGTTACAAGTACCTGGATTAGTTCAGGGCACATCAAAGATAAATCACCGATCATTCCTCCTTGAACGGTAGCATCCGCGAGGCCTAAAGAAGCAACAATTGCACATAAACCGATATAAGGCCCTATTCCACCACGTCCTCTTGTAGTCAAATCCAACTGTTTTTAAGCAATAAAAAGAATTTTGAATCCATAGTCAAGATTCAGTTTCTTTATGTAAGATAAAAAGAGACATAAGGTTTTGCTTACAACAATTAGCAATAACGTTGATACTGTGAAAATAATGTAACCAATAAGGTTACGTTTCCGGGTATTGATTTTTGATTCGTGGTATGCAAGAATCACAATTGTTCCGAGCGCAAAGGGCTGGTATACAAGTACTAGTACCCTTGACGGATGATAATCCTACACAGAAGCATACAAGTTTTAAACATTTTTTTCTTGGATAACCAAAAATAGAATTTACCGAACAGAAACCGAACCGGAAAAACTTTGTAGTAGTAGTCTGCGATAGTGAGCAGACTGTTCCAAGAAGCGAGTCCTCCGATTCCAAGAATACAACATATGACCTTTGCTTGAAACCCTCCCTGTTTATTTTTTGTTTTATTTTATAAAATTCAGACAAACAATTTTTCGTTTAAAAACTTGAAAAAAAGTTTTTTTCTGGTTTTACACTAAAAAACAGTGACAGATCTTTGGATCTAAGTTTTTGGTGTCGTGGAAACTTACCTGGAGCTTTTCAGGAGCTTGGTTCTCGTATCCATCGGCCATTTTCAAATAGTTGTTGAGAGCTCAAAAGAACATAAACCTTGTTTCAAGATTCAAGTATTGGACTCAACTCAAGATAATTTTTATTCTTTTTGGAGAGAAAAAGCTGTCATGGAATTTGGAACTTAGCAAAAGGTTTTGAGGATTTTGTAGAGCCGACGGGTTTGTTGATTTTATTACAATCAAAAGCTTTCATGTGATCCCAAACAAAGATTGCTTGAATAAGTTTGAATCCCAAAATATTAAATAAATCCAGTGTTTGAATTTTTTAATTATTAAATAACTGCATATTTATTATCAAAATCATCACATGTTAAAAATATTATTATATATGTTTTTATACAATCAGATACAACGGGAACTTATATTACTTAAAAAGGATGGCTCAACTAAGTCATATATATTTTATAAGGAAATTGAACTCGTTAGTCCATATATAAGATTTATACCATAATTAAAGTAGCAAAGCGCTATTTCATACATGTTGGAAATAACGTAATCTGTCTGATTATGGCCATATACGCTATTTTATCTTTATGTGACGTCTCTTTTCCTCATCTCTATATGTTCATCGTCTCTATCTTTCTTCCAAGTTTTTTTTAAACATGTCTCCTTCTACCCATGCTTGTATTATGATGCCTAAAATAACTTGTTGAACTTGTCTCGTTGGTGCCCATGTCCAATCCGTTGTATTGGGATGCCTAAATATTGTTTTGATAAAAAGTCAAAAAGAGGCCAGAACTTTAAAACTCTACACCACGAAAGCATTAAAGAGAATCTTAACCACTACATCACGACAGACTCTCTATAATTAAATCTGTTTAAATTCCTAATATTTCTGGCACCTAAAACATAGTTTCACCAAACTGGCCTTAATAGTGCCAAACTATTCTGTCTTTGATTGATTTGTATTTTTATGTTTCTTTCTTTCTCACCAATTAAATAAATAATATTCAATGTTCAAAAAACAAAGATCGATGACATATGTCTTTCGAAAGGTATAGGCCACAGATTTGAGAGTAAATATATTAATGACCAAATAGTTGGCGAACTGGAAGATCTACAATTATACATCCAGTGTATAAGTGGCGGTGGTTATGGTGGAGACCAAGGACGAAACAGTGTATAAGCTCTGAGCTCATAGCCTCATACGCGACTTTCTCTTAAAGTGCATGGACATTGGTTGATGTTGTATGGTCGAGTTGGATTCCAATCAATAAGATAAATCCTGCAAATGAATATGATTCTGGATTTGATTATTTTGGGTGTTTTTGATCACATATTGGAAACTGAAGTGGATGAATTTGAAGAGAGAAATCGTATATATATATATATTTACATTTTTTTTTGTCATCAGAAATCCTCTATATTTATTCTTTGATACGCATTTGTAAGTAACATCATTACCATCATTTATCTAATTTAGAAGAATGTTATACTGACATGTCATCACTACATAATTTCTTTATATACATTTGAAAATGTGCTTCTTTTACTATGGATAACAATAAGAAATGTTATATTGCCAAATTATTTGTAATCTTTTTCTTTAACTATACATATTTATTTATTCTAATATAATTTAGAAGCTGTGTGATTCAGTTCCTTGCTCTTATTTATTTTGTGAGTGCATAGGAATTTTTTGTATTTTTATCTCCCTTTTTAAGCTAATCATTACAAGAAAACACGCCTTTAACGAGGAGAATTACGAGGAAAATATTTTCTCGTAATGTTACGAGTACTTAACTACTAAGTTACGAGGAAACTTAAATTCGTCGTAAAGAACTAGTAACGTTACAATGAAAGCCATTCAAAGTAAATGACAAGTTAATTTACGATGAGTGTACTAGGAAAATGAAGATTCGTCGTAAAGAAGAAGTAAAACTACAAGCGCATTACGAGGCAAGTTTAACCGTTTATAGTAAAGAAAAACGTGTTCTTAAGTTACTACTTTCATTGTAACATGGTTGTAAAGCATGTACAAAGGACTTGTAAAATCATAGTAAATTGTTTCCTTGTAAATTCCTTGTTAAATTTTTACCAACCAAGCTCAAACATTTCCTATATATATGTCATTCCTAATCAATCCTAACAACACCACAAACAAAAACAAAACAAAAAATGAAAGAAAAAGAATCCGATGACTTATGTATCGATTTTCCAAGAAATTAAAAGGCGTAAACAGCCAGCAGAAAATTTCTAATCAACCCCCCGTAGTTTTTCATCGAGAAGTCGATGAATAGATACGAGGGGTTGATAAGACTGTTCCGATGACCGTGAACTCCCTTTAGTTTTGTGGAAGTAATCCAGAAAAAAATTATCCAATTTTTTTTTTCATTTTTCGTTGTAAAGTCGTCGTAAAATTACAAGTGCTTTACGACGAAATTTGGTTGGTGAACACGAATTTTATGTGTAACTTAAATTGTTGTAAATACGTTGTAACCTATATATTAGAGACATGTAATATCATAGTAAAAATATATTGTAAATACGTTGTAAACATTCATCTACCAATATTTGTGGATTTCCTATATATATGATCATTTCTCATTTCATACCACCACACAAAAAAAAAACTCAAAAAAATGTCTGATGGAAGAAATATTTTCGAATTGCGGAGTTTGATGTATACGCATAAAAATTCTGACGGTAGAGTGACGAATGCATTTCTTAGCGGGCTAGAGAGGTTCATGAACCAGGCAGCCTGTACACAGCTCACGTAAAAAAGTGGTAAGATGTTATATCCTTGTCAGAAACGCAAGAATTCAAAATTTTCCCGTACTGAAACTGTGTGGAAACATTTAGTACACATAGGTTTTACACCACAGTATTATATTTGGTTTCAACATGGAGAGGGTTATGGAGGAAATGAAGCTAGTAGTAGTAATAGTAATTTTCAGAATGTCAGTAATAATTAGAGTGCTGAACCGATGGTAGATTACGATAGGGTTCACGACATGATTACTGATGCATTTTTAGAAACCACTACAAAAATAGCAGATGAAACTGGAAATGTTGCCTAATTTGGATGCAAAAAGGTTTTATGAAATGCTAGATGCTGCAAATCAACCAATCTACACTGGTTGTAGAGAAGGTCACTCTAAATTGTCTCTAGCAGCTAGGATGATGAATATTAAAATGGATCATAATTTACCTGAGAACTGCATAAATGCATGGGCCGAGTTGTTTAAAGAGTATTTTCCAGAAGACAACGTGTCAGCTGAATCTTATTACAAGATTCAGAAATTGGTTTATAGTCTTGGGTTGCCATCGGAGATGATAGATGTTTGCATCGACAACTGCTTGATCTACTGAAGAGATGATGAGAAACTAGAAGAGCGTCGATTCTGCAAGAAGCCATGATTCAAACCGCAAGGACGTGGAAGGAATAGGGTACCGTATCAAAGGATGTGGTACTTACCAATTACAGATAGGCTGAAAAGATTATATGGTGGTCTAGTGACGAGGATAAGCATAGTGCCCACACTTATATTCTGCTCAACTGCGAGCATTCAGGGACACGTTCATTTGAAAGGTAAATAGTTATGTGGATTTAAATTATATGAAGTGCAATGGTATATTGATGTGAATACATTCATTTAATTTGCAGTTCTTTTGTAACGCAAGTTAAAGCAGCAATACCTGAAGTATCTGCAACTGAAGTGGACCGACGAAAAGATCAACACTATGTCACATGGTTAAAATCTTAGGTAATATATATAGCTCAATATTACGTAAGTAGTGAACACTATAATATAATATAAATTGTTAACATACTAATTTTTGTAGGACCCCCCATGGTTTCACGATTTGGTCGGAGGTCCAGTAGCAAAAGTCACCACATCACCTATGTATTTTACACGCGGTTTTACGTTTACATACGACTATGGGAGCCGTCGGGCAACAAGTAACTACAAAATATGTGTGAAAGGAAAAACAGACTTTTATGGGATTTTGCAGGAGATTATTGAAGTGGAATTTGCGGGATCATTGAAGCTCAAATGTGTCCTCTTCAAATGTTAGTGGTTCGACCCTGTTGTGAACAGGGGTGTTCGGTTTAGCAAATTCGGTGTTGTGGCTGTCAACTCTTCAAGAAAATGCAACAAATTCGAACCTTTCATCTTAGCTTCTCAAGCCGAGCAAGTTAGCTTCATTCCATACCCTCGCCTTAGATGTTCAGGAATAACTTGGTTAGCTGTTATCAAGTTTACACCTCGTGGACGAATAATTGCTGGAGAAGAACCACCCTTGCAAGTAGAAGCGTGTGTCACTGAAGTAGAAGTACCTGATCAACAAACTAATGAAATCTTTCTTATTGATCTGCATAATCATCAATACGAAGATCTTCAAGATGATGTGATGGATGAAACATGTGAAGACGAGTTCGATGGTAGCGATGATGATTCTCCTGATGTTGATGAGAATTCGAATGATTCTGAATGATGTAAAATATGTACCAAATATTGGGAATATGTATCAAATGTTGTTCTTTTATATCAATTAACGGATGTGTAAAAAATGTAGTTTAATATAATAAGTATTCATTTCGGTTTAAAAATTTATTAAAAGTAGGGTTTATAAAAATTTAGAAGAAGTAGAAGAAGAAGAGGTTTAGGGATTTGATTTTCGGGGATTCATATAATTCCTAGTAAATTCATCGTAATAGAAACACGGGCCTGGTAACTTCGTCGTAATGTGAAAAACACGGGCCTAGTAACTTCGTCGTAATGTGAAAAACACAGGCCTAGTAACTTCGTCGTAATGTGAAAAACACGGACCTGATAACTTCGTCGTAATAAAAACATGGGCCTGGTAAAAGCCTTGTAAATTTACGACGAACTTACGAGGAAAGAAATTATCTATATACACACACTCGCATATGAGGCTATTCGCCTCGTTCATTCATCCCAAACTCCTCTCCCTCTCAAGGTAACGTCCTCTCTCTTTTTTTTTAGTTTAGTTTAGTTTTAGTTTAGGTAATTAATTAGGTAAATAGTTTAGGTGGTTAGTTTAGATGATTAGGTTATGTAATTAATTGGTTTAGATAATAAGTTTAAGATAAACTGATGACATTTATTTTATTCAATTAGATGACTCCTAGACCGAAACCGATTAGACCACCTCCTACATATAGTGAGCTGTTTGGTACTGATGGTATCGGGACATCGTCTTCCGGCCCGTCATCTTCCGAGCG